TGGTTTTTTCCCCCCCCCCCCTCCATCCCAGCACCCAGCAGTGACACGAGTTTGCACGGTCTGAGCCCCGCGTGGTGCCGCCGTGCCCCTAACCAGCGTGGTTTCCCCCAGGGTCCGCCGGCGGTGAGCGGGAAGGTCCCAGAGTCCCCCAGACGGGCTGGCGCCCCTCAGAAGAGCCCAGCCGCTGATCCCCAGGCCCCAACAGAGGCTGCGGAGCCGGAGCAGGCAGCAGGAGCGACACCGGTAGGAGAGCACCCCTCTCCTGGGGGCAGGCAGGGATGCTCGCACCCCTGGAGGTGCCCGGCTCGGGGGTCTCTTCGGCTGGTGTAACGTCTTCCTTCTCTCTCTCATCCAGCCCTTTCGCTCTTCGCCTCGCTGTCTCTTTGCCAGGCACGGACATTTTCCTGACTCTTCTCTGGGGCTGCAAAGCCCCGTGGTTTCCTTTGGGTTTTAGCACCCCGTCCGCCCCGTCCCCCAGCTCTTCTCACCAGGCCAGATGTGTCCCGGCCTCATGCCATTGCATGTCCCCAGGTCGAGCCGGGAGCCAGGCAGGAACCTGCGGGCAGCCACGGCCAGGGCCCCTCTGCTTCGGAAACGGAGCCAGCGCCGCCGGAGGAGAGCTCTGCCGAGACAGGGGAGCACCTTGAGGTATGAGCTAATGCGTGTCCTCTTCCCACCTAAAAGCAGCGCCCACGGGGAGGTGGGAGTTTGCAGTCCCCTTTGCAAACCTCTTTTTTCCCCTTGCCTGGGCGGCGTTGCCAGCCCTCGCCGTGGGCTCTGCAGTGCATCTGTAATGCTTTGCACAGGTAGAGCCGTGCAGCCAAAGTGTCCCTAAGGCTGGCGCAGGTGGTGGGTCACATCCCCACAGTCCGACAGCCCCTCCGGAGCCTGCCGAGAGGGTCCACGCGGCGGCTGGCTCCGCTGGAGAGGTGGGTGCTGAGCTCTGCCCGCGTTCCCGGGGACGGCAGCGTCTGCCGAGCGGAGCTGGAGAAGCCGAGCCAGTGGCCCCCAGCCGAGGCGCGCAGGGGTCTGGGACCGGCCATGGGGTGGGGGGGCTCGCCCAAGGACCCTGATGCCAGGTGACGTGAATTTGGCATTTCTCATTTCTGGGGACGTGAATTTGGCATTTCTGGGGACACTGGGGAGAAACCCCTCCTGGGTGCTGGTGGTTGCAGGGCGAGAAGGGCTCTGCAGGGGCACATACGCTGTTGGGGGGTTTGTAGACCAGCTGCCCATGATGGGGCGGGTGTCGGCACGTGGTGGGCAGCTCCATGGCATGTCCACCCCCCAGGGGAGAGCCCACCAAGGCCGCTGCTGCGGGCAGGGGTGTGCTAGCAGTGCTGGCTCCTCTGCGGCTGCTGCCTTTCTGCCACTTTCTCTCTCACAGCTTCTCGGTGGCCTTCAGCCATCCGAAAACTCGCAGGTCCCGCCAGGAGCTACCGCGAAGCCCGACGCACAGCCCAGCCAGGCCGGCTCTGACGTCTGCGCAGCACCAGCGATCTCACCGGGGACCCGGCATCCTCCTGGGTCTGGTGAGACGGAGCCGGTACGGGGTTGGGGTGCCTCCACTCCCCCGCGCTCACCCCGAGGCGTCCCCGGGTCCCCATGGGGGGCAGGTGCCCTGGGCTCGGGGATACTGCCATAGCCCAGGAGCAGCGGAGTGGGATCCCTCTGGCTTCCCCATTTGCAGGATTACGGGCTGGGGTTAAAGCGCTGCTTTGTCTGGAGGCAGAGCCCGTGTCAGCCCCGGTGCCGGCTGCGCCAGAGATGCTGATAAACGTGAGACAGCTGGGAGAAAGGCCAAAAAAATAACTAGAGGCTTGAGAGCGTGCTGGAGCGTGAACAACCTTGGGACTCGAGCTTTAACGAAGCAAACGAGAGCATTGCAGAGTGGCTTAATTACTGCCTAATGGGAAGAGAAATCTGCTAGCGGGGCTCGCAGCGGTGATGCTGCCAGGGCTGGGGGTAGGGGGGGCAAGGGGCAGCTCCCACACCCGACGGAAGGGTGGCAAACAAGCACCCTGGGGAGCCAAGGTCCCAGCAGGTCCTCCCCACAGGGTGACCAGTTCCTGGCTGGCAGTTGGTGCCAGCAGCCCCAGTTTGGCCCCAGCCTTGCCCGGTCTCTCTCCCGTTCGAAGCATCTGACCCTTCCTCACCTTTTCCACCGCCCAGGCTGCGGGCGGCCGGTGCCAGCTCTGCACCGTGCTCTCCTGGTGCTGGTGGTTGCAGGGGAAGGTGCTTGTGGGCGAGAAGGGCTCTGCAGGGGCACATACGCTGTTGGGGGGTTTGTGGACCAGCCCTGGGGGAAAAAATATTCCTGGAGGGCTGCACACTGCTGGTGGGGAGGTTTTGGGGTGCCGCATGCTGACCCGTGCCGCTCCCCTGCAGTCGTACCAGCAGTTCAGCCTGACCATTGCGGTGGTGGCCACGATGCTGCTGCAGAAGGAGCCCTCCATGGAGGCGGCGCTGGGGCTGGCACTGAGGGCCAACCTCCGCCAGGGCCGGATCCATCACCTCCAGGAGCTGGAGGACTTCATCAACAGCTACGACTCGGCCACCCTCAGCCGCTGAGGGGGGGCCAGGGTGAGCAGCCGGACACCCCCCCTTGCCAACCCGGGTTGGGGGGGATGATGGGGGACCGTGTCGGTGCATCAGGGTGCTGGTGCTGAGCCCTCAGGTCAAGGTGGTACGGACGTGTTGGCGCGGTCCCACCCTCCCTTGGAGATGGAGGGAGGGGGTGTGTGCTTAGTTTTATCCCTGCCCAGACCTGTATGTGCAGCAAAAGGGGGAGCTGGTTTTACTGGAGGGTGGTGGGAGGGATGAGCGGCTGCGGGGAACTCCCCTCCGCCCCGGCTCCTCGCTCCGTTCCTGGTTCACGGGGATGTGCCCCGAAACCCCGGGGATTGTTCTTGGTTTTAAATCTAAAAATAAACGAGCCGCGATCTTTGCAGCCCCTGCTCTGCCATCGCTCTGGTCTCACTCTCCTGGGGCCGGCATGCACAGGGAGGGGTCCCACTGTGGACCCTCATCCTGGACCCACTACGGGGGACCCCCAGCTACAGCGGAGGGCAGCGGCTGTCCCCAGGGATCACACCCCTCCGGTGGCATGGTCAACACCGCAGTGACCCTGGGGTGGGGAGGAACAGGGCAGATGTGTTGGCTCTCCTGCGTTCAGGTCTCAGCTGAGCTTTATTGGAGCATCGTCTGCGGCAGCAGCAGAGCTGCCCCCCGGTCCCCTCCCATCCCCTCCCCGTGGCGGCAGGAGACAGAGTGCCACCAGGGATGGAGAGCAGCTGGCAGTGGTGCTCATCCTTCGAAGAGGTGTCCAAGGGAAGGATCCGACCCTGGCGGCCAGCACCCCTCCTGTCCCCATCGGTCCCCAGCAGCAGCCCCACAGCGGGGTGATGCAGGCAGCTGCCCTTGTCTTAAGCACCCGGCCACCCTCCCCTGTGCGCGGCTGCTCTCCGGGGCTGCCGCCTTGTCGGAGATGGGAGCCCTGGTGCGGGCTGCCGGCTCTCTGCTCCCTACCTGCTTTACCTGTTCCTAATTGCGGGAGAGGCCGGCAGGAATTGCAGGCTGTGCTTTGCCAGCAGCTGCCGGGGGGAAGGATCCCAGCAGCTTCTCCCCACCAGCCTTGGGCTGCGTCCAAAACGCACTTGGAACGCGTTGAGACTGTGGCAGGGGCTGGCAGGACAGCAGTGCCGGTCGAGGTCCCCCCCTGTCCCCGCTGCTAGGACACGCTGCAGTGCTGGTGCCGGTCGAGGTCCCCCCCCGTCCCCGCTGCTAGGACACGCTGCAGTGCTTGCTGCTGCCCCGTGGCTTCGCCGTCCTGCTCCCGGCCCTCCCCAGGGGCTCCCTGCCCAGGGAGCTCATCCCAGGCTTGGGGATGGGCTTCCCGAAGAAGAAACCCTCTTCCTCCGAGTCCGAGTCTGAAGATGAAGAGCAGGTGGGACACCAGGAGTCATCCTCCTCCGTGATGTCCTGTAGGTCGATGTCCTCCGGCCGTGGGCTGTATCGGGCAGGGGACATGCCCGCTCGGAAATGTGGGTTTCCATGGCCTGTGGGTGTTCGTGGGTCAGGGCCCCCCAAAACTGGATGGTTGGGGGCTCCAGGCCCATTTGGACCCTCTGTGCTGGGCTGGGGGCCGGAGGGGTGTCCGGCCGGTGGTCCCAGCATCCCTGCGTTCCCAGCATCCCTGCGCCACTCCTTAGCGGCTGCTCCGCGGTCCTCCAGGCTCCTGAACGCTGGATGCATGGAGGCCTGATCCAGAAACGCCTCTGGAAGAAGGAAAGCAAGGATGGGTGAGGAAGGGGAAGGCCGAGCCTGCCCTGCTACAGCCCCTCGTGCAGGGGAGGCTGCCCCGGGATGCAACGCAGGGTTGTACCAACCAAACCCCAGCTGCCAGCGCTCACCCTCCTGTGGGAGCTGGGCTGGGGGCTCGTCGCTGCTGCTCCAGCCCTGGGTTGGGCTGTACCCATGCAACGTACCCCATAAAGTACCCAGGGGCTGAGCAGAGCCTGGTTTTACTCCCACTCCCCTCCCGCCATGTAGCAAGCGGAGCAGTAGGATCCCTACCAGCCCCTTCCACCCGCTGCCTGCAGCCCCCGGCCGCCGAGGTGCTGCCTGTCCCCGGCACGGTCCTGCTGGCGGGGCCGGCTCGGGAGAGGGGCGTCGAGTCGGGGGACGGGGCTGAGGCGATAGCTGAGTCGGAGGAGTCGGAGGCGGTGGAGGATGCATCCTGTCCCAGGCTACAGGTCTCGGAGCAGAAGAGCCGGCCGCGGCGGGAGGTGAGGGGCTGCCCATGCAGCGGCTTTCGGCAGAGGCTGCAGCAGAAGCAGGCGGCTCGGGCATGCCAGTGCAGCCCTTGGTGGGTGGCCTCCTCGCTGTCGACACCTGAGGGGCAACCGCGGGTGAGGGGGAGGCTCTTCCCATCGCCGTGTGCCAAAACCCATCCTCCGCACTGAGCCACGGGGCTCTGGCTCCGCAGCCCTTCCAGCCCACATCCCGCCTGCCCGGGCAGGGAAGCCCCGCTGCACCCTGCCCCGGAGAGGGAGGGACAGGGGCCGTACCGATGGGGTCCCCGCAGGCCTGGCACGGCTCGGCGAAGAGGCTCTCGAAGCAGCCGCGGCAGCAGGGCCGGCCGCTCTTCATCACGTAGCGCTGCCCGCGCAGGGGCACGTCGCACTCCAGGCAGCAGAAGTGCTCCAGGTGCCAGCGCCGGCCCTCCGCTTCGATGCACTCCTCCATGAAGATCAGCTGGAGGGGGGGAAACAACCCATCCTCTAAGCACCCAGCTAGAAAACCCGTAGCCCGGAGGATGCTTTGCTGTGCCGAGGAGAGAGGAGAAGCCCCCGTGCCTTGGCACGGGCATGGGGCTCTCTGTAAGGCTCAGGAAGGAACCTTTCCTCCTGCCCATCAGCGGCTCTTGCTGCATTTGCAGCCCCCAGCCAAGCACAGGAGCTTTTAACAACAGCAAAAGGGAGGTAAAAGCCTCTCCCCTGCCCGGCACCCACCTGGTCGCAGGAGGCACAGCGGGGTCGGAAGAGCTCGGCGTGGTGCCGGCCGCAGTAGATCCTCCCGTCCTGCTGGAAGTAGATGAGGTCCACCAGGGGCTGGTGGCAGAAGTGGCAGGAGAAGCAGGATGGGTGCCAGAACTGGTCCCCCAGCCGGGATGCCGAAATCCCCGGGTCCCCTTTGTTCAGCTTCCTGCCGCACTGCAAGGCAGAGGGACGCGGGGTTTGGGATCAGGCTGGCTTTTGGGGACAGGTTCCCACTGGGGAATGGGTGCTGCCCGGTTCTGGGCGGGGGATGCCTCACCTTCTTGCAGGGACAGCCATGGCAGGGACCCGGCACGGGACATGCCAGCCCCTGCCCCAGGGCCTCCCGTCTCCGTCGGGCGCTGAACGCCTGTAGCTGCCTCCTCTCCTCCTCTGCGAGGTCGGGGCAGTACCGCTCCTGCATGGGGAGGCGGAGGTGAGAGGATGCACGGTGGGTGAAGCCCAGGGTGGGCAGCACCCAGCAAATACATGTCTTACATCGCAGTCCTGAGGAGGCAGCTGCTGCAGGAGGGCTCTGGCGCGGAGCCGGATCCTGTCGGCGGGAGAAGCAGGCTGCGGCGAGCGGGTGCCGAAGCACACCGGGACCTTGGGATGTCGCATGGGAGAGAGAAACACAAGCAGATTTTAAAATCTGCTTGGGGAATTAAGCTGCCTTGCTTCAGGTTGCTAAAATGTGTGTTTCATCTCGGGGCTGGGGGTGCTGGGCTGCGGGTACCACCCGTGGATGGCACCTGCAGGGCTGAGGGAGAGCGGGGAGCAGAGGGAGCCCCGCCAGACCCGGGGTGCTGCCCACCTCAGAGGGAGCGGGGTCCACAGGGGGCTCCAGGTACTCTTCCAGGGCACAGCCGGAGTCACTGTCGGATGAGGCCGGCGGGAGGCCGGTGGCAGTGCTGCAGGGGGGAGGCTCGTCTCGCTGGGGCCATGCGGGGCTCGGCAGGGACATGAGCTGGGGAGAGAGCATCAGAGCTGGTGAGACTCTCGGCGAGGCGGGGAGCAGGGGTCCATCCCCAGGACACGTATCATCCCACCTGCCTAGCGCCGACCTGTCTCCACGTGGCGGCAGGACGAGCAGCCCCTTGTCCCGGGGAGGGACCTCGGGGCAGGTCCAGCCGGGATGATGCTCAATGCCACCACGACCTTGAGATCCTCGGCTGAACGCCTGTAGAAGTCCAAGGGCTTTTAGAGGCTGCTCCTTTCTCTGCAGGGGTTATAAGCAAACCCACACCGAGGACATGGGTGCTCGGCAGGGCAGGGGCTTCGTCTGCCAAGCAGGAGGAGCTGAAGGGATGGTGATGGGGTGAAACCGGGCAGGGAAGACCCTGGGTGTCCATGCTCAAGCTGGAACAGGTTTTGGGAAACGGCACCGGCCATTCGCTCACCCACAGCGGGAGATTTTCCCCGGCTGCCGCCAGCCCTTTGCTGGCACGGCTAATCCCTGGTCTAGTGGCCTGTCCCTGAGCAGGGCAGTGGGAGGAGACTGAGGTCTAGTCCAATTCAGTGGAAAATAATTTATTCCCCTCAGGCTGCTATTGTTCTGCCCTGAGCGGCTGGGGCTTTCCGGGGCG